TAATAAAATGTGCCCTTTCTGCATAAGTGTACAATTATTAGATTACATGCCCCCATGCTTTCTCTTTGGTTCCTTACTATGTGTGAAATGGGATAATATTTTTTCCCTATGCAAAAACTCATTATGAGTATTTATATTTTCTAAATGCTCATTTACTCCCTTATGGGTTACCAAAATATCTAAAATATGCATGGAGATTTTAAAAGGTATGTTGAAAATTACAACAGGGAAATTCCATATTGTGAATATTATCTCAATGCATCTTTATGTTGACTTTATTGTTAACAAGGTGTGATGATCACTCATGGGAATGCAAATACCAATATGAAAGAGACAAAGTTATGAAGATAGTTGAATGTTCATTCATTTATCATTGCCACTCGAGACCACATTGCCAAATGACAACTTGTGTCCATGTGTATGTGCGTATGTGAATGTGTGTGTGTGTGATTGCACTGAGGTGATGTGTAAAGTAGACCAGGTCCTGTCCTTCTATCCTTACACACAAACATGAGTGGACTCTTGTATGAACACTGTTGGTGACCTGCCCAGATGCTCTTTACTTGCTGGGGCTCTAATCCAAACCCTACTTGGTATGAGTATGGGCTCCAGAGTTCACAGCCGTTCCATTCATGAGAGAATTTCCCTCAGCTGAAAGGGAGTCACATTACCAGGAGGTCTGGGGAAACTGGTGGGGGCAGCTCACAGCCAGTGACAGACTGTGAGATGGACAAAAGGTGCCAATGCCAAGGCAGGACTGCAATTCATGCTCCAGAGTTGTGCTGTCCAATACCTTAGTAAGTAGCCACGTTAGCTGCTTACATTTAAATTCATTAAATTAAATAAAATATAAAATTCAACTTCTTAGCTAGGACATTTTATTTTATTTTATTTTTTTAATTTTTTTTTTTAGCTAGGACATTTTAAATGCTCAGGTATGACAGGTAGAGAGTGGGCATAGTATTGGACAGTGAGGACAGAGAATTTCTACCATCACAGATGGATGGTTCTTCTGGAAAGTCCTGGCCAGCATCTCATGGGATCAGGCTCCTGCTCTGTTCCACTGGAGACCACATCCTTGCTTAGCAACATTCTCTGCTGTCTTCCTTCCCTCACCCCATTTATCCCGAGAGCATTCCCTGAATAAACAACATGCAGTGGAAATCCTACTTCATCGTCTTCTTCCACAGAACCTGCCCTACAGCCCTGTCAGTGTTCATCACATCTGTCATTTCCTATGTAGTGATGGCTATATCCCATCATTTGCTCATCCTCCCTCGTCATCGGGGGCCTGTTCTCATATGTCTGAGGTCAACTTAGACCCATGAGACAGAAACATCAAGCAAGCAACAGCGATTCAGTCGTAGCACTGAGGCTGCAGAAATCTTGCCTGCAATTTTTCAGGATTCATTCAGGAACCGGATAGGGCAGCATGTGTATGTCAAATATATCAATGAATGTTATATATTTGAAATGTCTTAAATAGAGACATATTCTTAAGATACTTTCTCTTTAAAATGTGTAGTTTGCATACTGAGCATCTACTTTTGTGAAACTATGTATTCTTGCACTAAAACTTAGAACTGTATGTCAGCATTGAGGTATTATGGTAATGGAAATTACTGCTGTATCACCTTACGTGTGTCAGTACTAAGAATTTAACCTCTCACATTTGAAACAATTATCTTAGTTATTATTGTAACATTGAGATGCCATTTGAATTATATACTTTTCTGACGTGAATTATTACATAGATTGGCAGTGTCTTTGTTTTGTAGCTTCTGTTAATTTTTATTTTCACTAATAACTTTTCTTTCTCTCCATGTATAATCTTTGGGTTTTTTCAAGTATTTATCTTTCATATGCAAATTAATAATATAGGTGTAATCTATCACTGGGCTTTCCTGTTCCGTGTCATATTATGATAGTTACTAGGGACACATACTTTGCTCCTGTGCCCGGGAAGGACATGTTCACTATTTCCAGCCAGTTTTATTTATATAGTTTGTCTCAGATGAATCAATCCATCTTACTGAATTTAGTTATTTCATGCTACCAAACATAGATGATGGTTCTTTGTCTAATTACACCATCCTTCAAATTTTTTTAAATATTTATTTGTTTTTGAGAGAAAGACTGAGTGCGAGCAGGGGAGGGGCAGAGAGAGAAGGAGACACAGAATCTGAAGCAGGCTTCAGTCTCCAAGCTGTCAGCATGGAGCCCAAAATGGGGTTTGAACCCACGAACCGCAAGATCATGACCTGAGCTGACGTGGGCGCTTAACCGACTGAGCCACCCGGGTGCCCCCAATTACAACATTTTTTAAATGTGGTGAGAAGGAAATGAAATGTAATTTCCCATTATCCTCAGTGGACACATGTCCTTTCTCTTGGAAGACTGCTCTGTGTGGTGCACAAGCAAGGGGACGGGGAAGGAACAGAGTGACCCAGTTCAACAGAACATACTCTTGAGAATTGATGGGAGAACGCATTTCGCAGCCTGATCTTTCCCATGTCTGGTGTTACTAAAGGATAATGATTTTCCTGAATTGTAATGAGAACAACAATAGCAGAAGATGATAGACTATGATATGAGTCCTGTAGTTCCCTCCCCGCGTGCTCTCCTCAGGACACTAGGAGCAATTGTACCACAGGGATGAGGACATTCTTGTCATCTTCAGTGCAGACTCCTTTGTCTGATATTGTATTTTTCAACTGAAAATCATAATCATTTTTGTACCTGTCAGATAGATAGCCATTATGTATTCTTTCACACACACACACACACACACGCACATACACGATCCTGGAAAGCAGCAAATCATATGTACAAGTTCATCTCACCAGGATTTTACCTTTTCTCAACTGTCTTCTTTGTCCTGATTGACATGATATTGTTAACATGTATCATTAGTTTATTCTAAAGGTGCAGTAGCATATCAGTGTTTTCTTGGGATGAGTTTACATTTTAGTTTTGCCCTTCTTCACTTTGGTAGTGCTTCCTTTATCAGACCCATTAAAAAGTTTGTGGGCAATTATTTCAAGTAAACGTATCAATCTCTGTGTGTGTGCCTATGAGACTCAAGCATGGTTTGTTTTTATTTGTTCTTCTGAGCAGATGTTAGAGGACACGTTTTGTTGTTGCACATTTAGACTGTCACAAATAACTGTATAACTATTACTTTTAAGAAAAATTTTCTGCATAGATTTTTTTGTGTGGAGACCACTGATCATATGTTTATATGAAATCAAACGAGGTATAAAATAGTGTGAAATACCGTATCCTCTCTCCAAATATTATGAATATTTGATGCCTGTTTTTACCTGTTTCTTTTACACATCATTGGGTCCTGCCCCAAACCTGATTCAGGTTGCAAAGTCTTAGAAGAATTAAAAATGCATGGTATGCCCTACCATTTGAATATGATACAACTGAAGGACTCATTTTCTGATGCCTCTTTCGTCACTGTATAACTATTCATCTTCTTCAGTTACAGTAAGCATTGGATGAAAATGGTCATCACCCAACCTCATATCTGGCAATGTGTTTGGTCCATTGTCACTAACTCTGAAAGGTAGCTCCCAGAAAGGTGATCGTTGACATAATGTGGACGGATGTCTGAGATTTTGTATAACACCAAAATATTGGTTTCTTTATATCTTTCTTTATACTACTTTAAGTTTTGCTTTATAGTTCTTTGACCCATCATTGCTTTGAGAATGTATCTGTCTTTATCTCTGTGTGTTTATCTCTTTATTTTATCATAAGGAGTGATGTAAAACATTACAGATTGTACATATTTACATGGTTGGCTAAACTTTTAAAATGTTTATTCTGATTAGGATGTCGATAAGGAATAATCCTACCTCTTTCACGAATTTTATGAACTTTAATTGGTAACGTGTGAGATGGAAATCTCCAGAAGGAAGAGGAAAGTGTTGGTCAATGGATTTTAGAGTTCTGATTCCAGCTGGTTCTGCACGGTCAATGAATTTTCAGAGTTCCTGTTAAATTGGTATGATAATTTGACGCATTTTTCAGGCAAAAGTTAAGAATTTTAACTGAATGGTGGTTTTCCGGTTTTCTCTGATTAAGTTTTTTACTACCTTACCAAAGAAAAAACAAAAACAAAAACAAAACAAAACCTGTGTCGTTCCAAATATAATACATTAGTTAGGCAATACTGCCGAATGTTTATGCAGAAATAGCAGTGAGATTTTGAATGTAATTGAATTTTTCATATAAGTACATTCTAGGTCATAAGTTCCTATATCAGAATGCTTTTTCCACAGTAAGTGCTCATATATATATATATATGTATTTTTTAATGTTTATTTATTTATTTTGAGAGAGAGACAGTGAGGGAGCAGGGGAGGTGCAGAGAGAGAGGGAGAGACACGGAATCCCATGAAGGCTCAGTGCTGTCAGTGAAGAGTCCAACACAGGGCTTGAACCCACGACGCATGAGGTCATGGCCCCAGCTGAAACCAGGAGTCGGGTGCTTACCCACTAAGCTATTCAGGTGTCACCATATTATTTTAATGCATGTGTGGTGTGTGCAAATCCAGTTGTATAGAATCATGAGACACATATTTATAATAACATCTCTCCTCTCTGAATTTCTGATTCTTTCTGATAGCCCTTCTTCTTTTCCCTTACACATTTTTACATAACTTAAATCTGCAACATACATACCTTTTTATAGTACTTTAAGTTCTAATAAGTGTGGACTGTAAGATCTTATTCCTATGACTGATGCAAACACAAGGTCCTTATATGATATTTCTTACATTAAATACTAATGATTTACTTATTGTGATAATGTGGACTGTATTGGTATAAGTTATGTCAATTTCCATGAGTATGTCATTATTCAAATTATTACTGATAAAGTCCTTGACGTTGTCCTCTCATACAATCAATTCAACTCCCTGCCACCTTTTTTTCTTTTGAAGGTTTCTCGTAAAAATTGCTAAATACTTGGTCTTAAGAGGATATATATGTGGTATGAAAGGATGGACCCGAAAAATGGAAGTTCTCTCACTGGCTTTATCCTGCTGGGTTTCTCTGACCGGCCTCAGCTGGAGCGAGTCCTCTTTGTGGTTCTTCTCATCTTCTATCTGCTCACCCTGCTGGGAAACACAACCATCATTGCGTTGTCCCGCCTGGACCCACACCTGCAGACTCCCATGTACTTTTTCCTGTCCAACCTAAGCTTTCTGGACCTGTGTTACACGACCAGCACTGTTCCTCAGCTGCTGGTTCATCTCAGGGGAGCAGACAAGTCTATCTCCTTTGCTGCCTGTGTAGCTCAGCTGTTCATTGCTCTAGGGTTGGGATCCACAGAATGCATTCTCTTAGGGGTGATGGCATTTGACCGCTATGCAGCCGTCTGCAGGCCCCTGCACTACACAGTGATCATGCACCCCCGTCTCTGTGCCCTGATGGCTTCTGCGTCGTGGTTCATTGGCTTTGCCAACTCCTCGTTGCAGACAGTGCTCATCTTTCTTGTACCACTTTGTGGGAGAAATAAAATAGACCACTTCTTTTGTGATGTCGCCCCACTGCTCAAGCTTGCCTGTGTTGACACCACTGGGAATGAGAATGAGATCTTCTTTGCCAGT